AGGGTAATCTTGCAGTACAATAAAAGGCCAAGGGAAAACTCTCCTGTTAAATGAATAGCTGCATTAGGTCAATACCTTTCCTTGTATCGAATCAAAGATACTTCAAATTATAACAGCGTTCTCCCTAATGTTACATCTTAAATATATACATTTCGTATGCGTTTTACAGAATATTGCTGCTTTATCAACACAAGAACAGTAACACAGGAGGTGCAGGCAGGAATGCTGATGCAAGATTTGCTACTTGGATAATTTCTTCAAGGACAATTTCTTTCCAAATAGTGCCTAAGGAGACACAAAATCAGAGTTTAGTGTCTGTCTAGCATAATCTTTTAAACTTCAAAATAAACACAGTCCCATAAATACTATTCTCAAATCGTTCAAGCATTCTGGAAACTTTACAATACAATTATTGCAAAGTACTAAGATCACTACCACTGACCCTTCAACCATACTGCACAAATATTGCCAAATTGAATTCCCCTATTATTTCTGGGAGCCAGCAGACTGCGGGGACGGGCGGGGGGACGGGAAGAAGAGCTCTTTTTTAAAGTGAAAGAAATGTCAGAAGTCTGTAGGAAAACGGTCTAAAGCTAGGTAGATTAGTACTGTCTCTTGTTCAACCTACATATCTCCTGCAGGTTATTTTTTCTCTAGTATAAATGTAATTTAATAGCTGAGGTTGATATTGTTTCACTTTCAGCTATCTGCTCTATACTCCGGTCTCATTCTACACTAGATGATTACCTGACTATCCTATATGCACAATTTAAAGGGAATTACCTATTACTTCAATTATTTGTTTCTTATCAACTGATGTTACACTACAAGGATTTGCATTGAAAGGACACAAAGAAGGAGCAAGTCATGGCACATTGCCAAATAAAAGAGTAATGTTCTGGTGAATTTAGACTAAATAATTTACTGCTATATAAAAGTGGAAAAGTGGAAGGTGAACCCTTTGACCAATAAATCTCTTCTGCATGTGAAACCCTTATCTTGTCCCCTCCAATATATTCCACACTAGGAAGCCATCATCATTGGCTCTGGTTTGTTATTTGTAAACCTTGATCTTCTGCACTCGGTGTCCTAAATATGGATAATTAGCATCAGTTTATCACGCCTCTGCATATTTTCTCTTCTCTCCAAACATGCATGCTTCTATTGGCTGCCATTCTGTCACAGAAGATTATGGAGACAGATTGCAGAGAATGAATGTGCTAAACGAGATTAGGAAGGAATAGAAATAGCAACTTGGCCAATAAATTCCTCGTGAGAGCCTTATCATACAATTACACGTTGACTTGTTTCACACTCTCCCAGCCTCTTAATCCAACGCCCCCACCAAGAATAAAATTTCACTAATTTCTGAATTACTGCATAGCCTCATGACTTGTCACCGAGAATGGCTGGAAGAAGCAACACGGTCGAAAATAGCACATCAAACTTCCAAAAGGAAAAGAAACGTTCAAGGCAGAAATGGCTGGAGGTTTAAACCATTTGTGGGCATGTTTAGAAGTGCTGGAGCCTCCACCGTTTCACGTGGCAAGACTTCACCACGAAACACCGGCGCGTTTGCTTTTACCTCCAAACTTTTGTTTTAAAAAAGACACCGAATTGATGCTGCTAAATTGTTTAAAGTTCACGTTTGCTGCACTGAAATATTACTGCTAAACACCGTACAGACGTGCCAGACAGCTATTGCAAAACTATTTACTTTTCTTACTAGTTTCTTGAACGTCCCTGAAATTAATGTAGTCAATTAGGAATAGGTTAAGGGTCTGGTAACACTGCTGGGACAATACGCCTGTGCAGTTACAAGAAGTAGGTGTTCATTCAGATCTTTGGGAATAATTACAACCAGTGAAATTGATGAGATATTTTCAGTGTGGATATTAGAAACCATGACTTATATTATTTAATATTAAAAATCAAATCAGCCTACCTATGTAGGTAGGGACAGTGAGAAAAAATCTCAATTGTTTAAGAGACTAAAGAAGTATTACTCACTCCAGCCTAGACATGTCTACGTCTTGCATAGTGATGCTACTGTTTGTGGTACTGTTGTTTTAGTTATTTTGGATAAACGGAGGGAGAGAACAAAAAAAAACCCCACAGAAGTCCCACAGAGAAGCCCCCAACTCAATGGAACTAAACTAAATACTATTAGCTTGTGTCCTACATGTTGTTTAACTGTTTTAGCAGAGTTAAGATTTTGGCAACTTTCTGTTATTGTAAAATGACTGCTTGAAGGAGACCTTAGCTGTATGAATGGAGTTGTTTTTTAAAATAAAAGTGAGTCCATAGCTGCCTTTCAAAGCATGAGTTAAACTATGAAAAAGTAGTGCCAACTGCTTTCAAGTTGACTGGCACCATTTTTGCTGCACGCTATCCCTATGTCAGGAGATGCTGAATACGTTTAATGCAGCAAGAAGTTATATTTTAATTACAAGTGTAGAGTGGATTCAATTAATAATGAAGAAGAGAAAATACGGCTGACTGGGAACTTTTCTTAAAACATCTAATCCCAGTGAAAAAGAATAAAATACTCTAGACAATATATTGTATCATAAAACTCTACTGAAAATAAATGATACTGGAATGAAAGATGCCACCTTTGGAATTTTGGGTAACATGGCACCCTGAACTGCAAAACAGAGCGTACATACCTGTTGGTCAGACCCCTTACATCAGTGGGGGGCTGAAGGGAGGTACCATCTTACCCTCGGGGATACTATCTGTAGATACTTTTCTATCAGGAAACAATACATTAAATCATTTAAAAACCTATCCTGCAAATATATATCTAGAACCAGGACAATGGGCATGTATAGAAACTCCACTCGCAACGTCCCTGGGCCCCTAACAAGTGGAATCAAAGAGGGGTTATTTTTGGATGAGTCTTACACATTTTATAGCTTTTTAGTGGTTTGTTTGTAATTCAAACCTGCCTTTCCCACTGATCCTTGCCCATGCTTCCTTTCCCACATTGCAGCATGTCCACGTGCATAATTGTCCATAGCTGAGGGTCACCTTCCTCCATAGCCTTAAAACCATAATGTTGCTGAAAATATTGAGACGATAAGCCTGACCTGGGGTGATACTCAGTGAGGAAGCCGCGATACCTGTGTGTTACAATAGCAATCTTTGCACTCTGCAATCACATGACGTGATATTAACACACACTCCCCCGCCCCACACACACACACACACACACTTTTTTTTTTTTTTTTTTTTTTTTTGTATATCCCCTGAATTGGTTAGTTACATCAGGGAGAGGCGTTTGCCATTAATCTGGGAACAAACTGCTAACCTCGGTGACTGGTATTTTAGCTTTTCTTTTCTCACTTTTCTTAGTGTGGGGAAAGCAGTAAAGCTTGTGTGGACTGATTGTGAGGGGCTCCGCTGGAATTTGGCAGCCCAAAGGCTTGGAGAGCAGCCCCATGCTGACTCCTATTCAGCGGGCCAGTTTTCCGCGAGCTTTGGAAGTTTCACTCAGCCGTGCACTCAATGGCTTCACAAAGCTGATTACAAGCTTCAGCGCATTCCTGAAGGAGCCAAAAGCGACGCAGGTGCAAACGAGCCGAGGGAGCCCCTTATCCCGGTGACAGAATGGGACAAGCTGGGAAAGGCTTGGACCACACAAATCCAAGGCTCACCAGGCAGCGGCAAGCCTGCCTTGGGAACCGGGGGTCATTATCCGCTCCATTCAGCGGGGACCCAGAGGCAGCCGCACGTACCAGCACTGGGGACAGCTCCCCGGCCCCTGTGTCCCAGGAGACAGCAGCGGCTCTTCACCGGACACCTCCTCCCAGTTTATGCCAGCCGCCCTCCCTTTAAACTAGCGCATAGCTGCTACCTTGGGTCTATTCCCCAGCCTCCTTCCGTCTCCCAATTGTAACTCAGCGTACAATAGCTTTTAGCCCCACAGTACGAAATACCTATGCTTTGTTTGTCTTTAACCCCACACACATGAAATCTCCCTCCTCCTCCTTCCTGATATAAAATATTGCTCTAGGATCTAGCTTGAAATCCAGCATGGAAAATGAGCGGATCCTAAATGCCAGGCTCTCGATTGAAGTTCCTGAACACTACATTTTAAAGTGTATCTTTTAATGGGGCATTTCAGGGAGAAATAAGCAGATCCTGCCTCGGTCTCTAGGTAAATCCAATTCCCATATAACCTTACTGCAACTGTCAATATCTAGTCATTGTTTTCCTACACAATGAAAGCAGCCCCCCAGTCCCTGTCCTGCCTCCTTCCCGAACGAGTGTGGGGGTGGGAAGGAGTCGAGGAGGGGTCTCTTTCTTGGCTGAAATGGGCGTTGTTGGATTTTATTTGGGGTTACTGGGCGACTCTCCCTCTCCCCCGTTTCTGACTTCCCTTGCTTTTCCCTCAGCCAGGCGAAGAAGCCGCAGTCTACTTTGCGGTGAAATTAATTACGGCCCTTCCCCGCTATCAATTACTGAGAAATCAGCCTTTCCTGCAGAGAGGAGGAATAATCAAAGAGCTTTGAGTCTGGGGAACCTCGGACTTGAGCGTGCACAATGCAGCAAGGGAATTGCAGGACTGCTGGTCAATAGTTTCATATGCAAATAGGACCAGCCTCCACGTTACTAGGATGATTTTATTTTTTTTAAGGACTGTATTATTGCGTTGATTTTTAACAAACCACCCTCCACATGCCCTCCCTTTTCTTACAGCGAGGGGGTCCTTGCTGCTACCTCTTCCTTGGGGCGCATTTCCTCCTGGTTTAGCTGCTGTCCCACCTCCATGTTAATTTCGCCCCAGAGAAATGAAGGCAGACTGGCTGGTCGCTAATATTAAAGCGATCTCCCAGTCCCTGGGCGCTCCCGCTCTCGCCCTTGCCGTGGCCATGCCCCTGCACGATCGTGATGTGCGGCTGGCATGGCAGAGGCATGAAATCCCCCCCCCCCCAGCACCAGCCCATGTCCTCCCCCTCCCGCTGAAACCCCCAAGTTCTCGTTGTCTTTCCGGTCTGCAGAATGTTGAGGAGGCAAGGCAGCGGTGCATTTGCTTGTGTGGAGCGCACCGCCTGCAAGCGGTTGCCTTGGCAGAAAGGTGCAGCTTTCCGATGTTCTTTTGTCTGATAACTAATTCAAGTTAATGCGATCTTTATGTAAAGCTAACAGCGGATAATTGTCTATTTTCTCGCCAACAATCTCCATCACAATCACTTATCTGGAAACCTGCGGTTGTATTAATCGCTATATTCCCCGAGATAAGCGTCTCTCGAATTATCAGTAAACACTAGAGGGAAATTAAACAAACTCCAGAGCCACTTAAGTTTCCTCTGCAGCTTTAACCCCATCCATTGGGGGCGGGGGGGGGGGAGGACAGAAAATCTGGGACCTAAATACAGAGCTAGGTCGCAGTAGGGGAGAGATAGGGAGGGGGTACAGGGGAGATGGGCCTGATTTTGTTTGTTTGTTTTATGTGACTTTTGTGTTTGAGAAATACAGCAGCAACCTCTGTTCGGTGTCTGGGGCTCTGCCTTTTGTAGCGTGTGGGACTTCACAGGCAATTCTTGTAAATCACGTAATTAAGTGTATTAGAAGCTTCAGGGGCAACAAGAAGCCAGGAGATAATGCACTGAGAGATTAACAACAGTTGTATGGCTTTAGTTGGGTTATACCAGGGAGAAAGGAGTTCCTCCTTCTGAAAATCTCCATATTAGCAAATTTTTGGCAATATTTATACGAGAGATTTATTTAAACCTCAGGAGAAAAAGAGCGAGAGAGTGAAACTTCGGTGGGAATATGTTTTACTGCTTAGATCCCATCAGTTCTGTTAGGTGTAAAGAAATTATAGTAAATTGTTCTGGAAACCCCTCAAGGGAAAACATACTCGTATGGCAAAGATTTTGTCTTTTTGAGATGAAGTCAAAACAGCAGTGTCGAATGAAATTTATTTTAGGGGTAGAGGAGGGAGAGTGTGGGGGTGGGGGGCGGGGGGGGGTGTTGGCGTGCTGCAACAAAAAGCCAGCCCCTGACATTTCATTCGGAAGCCTGGGACAGTACAGAGTTTTCAACTCGTGGGGAGGGGAATGCGGTTTAATCCATCCTCTCCTCACTCATGACCCTCGCAGATAACCGGTTTCTGTCTGCCAACTCAGAACACAGCCCCTTCCTTTTCCTGGAAAATAGCGGATTTCAGAGTGAAGCTGTGCGCTGCTTATTAATAATCACCATCACACTTAGTATCTATACAGGGGCTTTGCATGTTCATAGCGCTTTAAAAACACTAATTAATTAATCTTGCCGTTTGGTTATAGAACAGGCAACAAAGAACTGTAAAGCATGACTTTGTCCTGTGGTTAATTTTTTTAAAATAAACTTTTACATATAAAAGCCTTTAATTAAGCAGCTCTCTTTTTGGCCGCGGGGGCGGGGGGGAGGAGGATGGAGGGGGAATAGATACTTCTGTGATATTTTTATATGTAAAGGCATAATGTTTCCATTAAACAACTGATTAGGTCTTTCTAAATACTAAAACTGCTTGAACTCTGCGGTTGTTTGTTCCTCTTGAGCTGCAGGTTCCCAGGGTAGCTTTTTCTTATGGCATTTGAGAGTCATCCCACTTCATCTCTCACCTGAATCTTGTCATCTCTGCCATCTTGAAGTGATCTGTGAACAATGCAGGTCCCTTGGACAGCCCAAGCTGGTCAATCAGGCAGAACAGACTATGCAAATGGAATGGAAAGGCGAAGCGATGGAGAACACTGGCTCCCATTGTCTTGAGAATTTCAAAGCGAAGCCCAGCTGCAGCAGCGTTGCTGTCTCGGACCTTGGTTGCTACTCTAATGTCATCATTGCAAAACATCAGATTTTGAAAACTATACACTCTGAATGCACGAGCAGCCCTCTGCAGAGATTTCGCTTTTCCATAACACGTTTGTCAGGCACAAAAACCTAAGGTTGCCTAGGGAAGAGGCAGGGGGAGGAGATTCGAGCACCATTATTTGATTAGATTTATAGTTTCCTCTTATTATTCAATCATATACTGTTAGATAACTGTTGTGGATCTGATGCTAAATGTTCTCCCCCTTAGTTTTCTTGCAACGTGCCTCAATTTCCTGTTGCCTCTAGAGTCAAATCAGTTTGTCGGTTATCTTCAACTTAGTTTATATTGTGTTTTAGCAGTTTTTGAGGGGACCTAACTAGCTTGCTCCAGTCTTGTAAACTGCCAGTGAAACATTTCTTAAATCTTTGTTTGCAGTTCTTAAAATATGTAGAGCGTTGCAGGGTAAAATAGTTAGACTATGTCTCTGCAAGTAATTAATACAGAAACGTAGTTATGTTTTAATGAAGGCTCTGACATTTTTGAGCAACCAGTTTTTAATGATCTTAAATAGCTGTCCCTATTAAATATACATTAAAGCCCTGCTTAAGATCTTCAGTTTCCAGTGTGAGGACCACAGTTTAATTCCTTAGATGCTACATAAAAATAAAACTTCATCTTAGTAGAATTTAACGCTGTTGAATTGTTACTGTGTATTTTTTCAAGGACGAGATCTCTGAACATGTTTCACTTACAATTTCTTTTCCTTTTCTTTTGCCTTTAGATGACTTTTGTGATCACCATGTGGTTAGCTGAGGAAACGCCTCTCTCAAACGCCTTCATGTCAGGAGACTGCACCTAGGAGCATAGTCTATGTAGCCAATGTTTCCCCTCCCCCCGCTTTCTCAGTTATCTTTCAGGAACTAATGCACATATAGATTGATTATATTACATTATTAAATGGTGGAATGTTCACACATTTTAATCCAGACTTTAATTTAGAACAAAGCATGTTTAGTATTCACGTGCGAACAGGGGAAAAAAGTGTCATCTTGATAAAACAACTAATCTTCAGTGAAATCTAATCGTATTTTTTGCAGTAGCATATACATTTCAACTGACCTTTTCTGTTCTATAGGTTAACTCTTTTACTGTAAAGGATGTGATCTTTTCATGAACAATACGAGTTCAAGGAAAGGGTTCAGACAGGTCTTAATACTGAAGTTATCTAGGATTAAGGAATTCCTATTAAAATCATTTCGTCATTTTCAGAATAAAGTGACTGAGGCTCTAAGAAAAAATGGATGGGATTACCGTAAAGAAACGAGAAAAAAAAAACCCAAAAGCAAATGAGATCATTACATTATAACAGTTGTGGCATTTGATCTTCTGGCTGCAAGCTTTTTTTCACTTAGGCGAAGAGAAACCCGTTTCCAATCCTTAGTACACAAAATACAAATTATGGTTTAAAAGGCAACCAGAGAAAAAGTCAACATAAAAGCCCCGTTTCATGCAAATAACCAAATGCGGAAAGGGAGCACACAGCCCTCCACTCTTCCAGCCCATGCCATGTCACTGGTCATGTTTAAATGGAAATTGTGTATGTTGGAAATTCTGCACCGTTTCTCTCAAACAGATTCCGGGCGAACATCTCCCCAACCCCTTTTCTCCACAGTAAAGCTGACCACTGAAAACATAAGATGTGCAATCTCCGCATCCAGTTTACTTCCTGAAGATGCCCTGGGTATACCTCAGCTCTGGTTGGCCTTAGCTAACCCGAAATGCAGACAGCCACAGAGCGCCAATGCTGTTCACCGGGGAGGTCAGAGTCTGGGTTCCAGCGCCCGCAGGGATACCTTCACCGCTGTTTTTAGCCCCACACCTCAAGCCAGAGGCAGCTGACTGGGGTGTTTAATTGCTGTGTAGAAAGTCCAGCCGCAGGGTTTGTTTTGAGGTGTAGACATACTCATTAGCCAACAGATAAAGCAACGTTTGCATGGGACCATCACAGGTGCATGGGCCAAATTCTCTGCTGGCATAAACCAGCGCATCTCTAACTGGAGCTCCGCCATTTGACCCTAGCAGGGAATTTGGCCTCCTAGCTAACAAGTACGTCGGGCAGAGGGTAATTAGGTTGCAGCTAGTAAAGAGGTCCAGTTGTCCCTCCACTCACATGTTGTCTCTTATCTTGCTGGTCAAGACCCTTCCCCAGGAAGGAAACTCCACTGAAAGGCCCTGCCCAGGAACCTGGCCAGTCACTATAGTCTTTAGTATCCTTTTTTTTAAAACTGGGCCTCGGCCGGCCACCTTTGGTCATGTGCTCCTTTCTGTTTACACCGGAACCCCGAAGCAGATCGGGAGCCCCAGCGCCAGGAGGAAGCATAAAGGTGCCGAAAACTTCCGCCTCCCCCTGCTGAGCGGGTTCCCCTTCCAGAGAGCAGCCGTGCGCTCCCTGGGAGCGAGCCCCGAGGCGTGGCCATGGCGAGCCTGGATCTGTGTCTTCCCGGGGCTGCGGGGAGGGGGCTGGAGAAGGAGCGATGCTGGGTCGGGAGCGAACTTAGTCGAACCGGGAGCTTGACAGCTGCGGAGCTGGGTAACAGTCTCCCTTGTCTCATGCACCAATCTTCCCCATCAACTCCCTCCCCAAAGCACACTTTCTCCCCAAGCCTAAAGCCTTTCGGAAAGGAGCGTTGTTGTCGCGCCAGGTGCAGCGCGCTGAACTGGTTTGATCGGGTCCACATTGGCTTGTGCCCTCTTTGTATGCTTGTACAATCTGGAGCGTGCTGCCTTTGCCTCCCGCCTATCATACCACTCAGTGTGACCAGATGCCACGATTTTATAGGGACAGTCCCGATATTTGGGGCGTTGTCTTATATGGGTGCCTATTACCCCCCACCCCCTGTCCCGATTTTTCACCCTTGCGATCCGGTCACCACTCCATGATGTGACTTTGGCACGGGTGGCTACTGAGTTTCCCAGAGCTCATCCCGTACACCACCGGGGTGGTGGTCACATTGATAGGACGTCCCAAACAAACTTTAGCGAAACCGGTATCCTTTCTCCCCCCGCCGACCATCGTCACCCAGAGAGTCTTCTTCAGCTGTTTGCTCTGCATCTGCTCCCAAGCCAATATTTAAAACACACCCGCTGGACTCTCGCAGAACGCAACTTCGTCTGCGCTCACAACTTTCCACTTCCGCCCCTTCTCCCCAGCCGCAGCACCCCTGGTACATTCAGCCACAGTTATCTCTGCTCCTGCACTGACTGTATTTTTCATGGTTATTATCATCCGAGGCTGTGTAGTGCCATCTGGCACGCGCGCACTTGGGGGACGAAAATCATATAGTCAATGAATGGAGCATACAGGGGTATGCTTTTTCTTCCTTCCTATGGAGCGGTGTCTGTTTAAAATTATGCAGAGGAGATAAGTGAACAATTCACCCTCGTGACAAACGATCAGAAACACCAATCATGACATTAACAACCACTGTGGAGAAGCGACGCCAAGAATGGACAAGAAAGTGCTTTCCTCTAAATATTGCCTTGTATTTGCTTCCTTGTATGTTTCCTTTCACCTTATGTCCTCATAAGGATCAAAATTTCTTCAAGATGTTATGCTAGCTCTGTTCCCTCTGGATCTTTATTGATCTTTCAGCTAGCCTATTTAATTATGAGGCATATATCTGAAGTAAGTGGCACATATGAAACATCACTCCTCGTATACACCAGTTCGTCACATTATGGATCAGGTTGCAGTCCTTGAGACCTTTCTCAGTCTTACTGCTATTGTACAGTGAGCGCAATACAAATGTTTCTACTAGGCGCAGTGCAAGCTAGAAGCCAAAGCATAGCCGCCTTATTTCAAAGCTAGTTTTATAACAGAGAGATATATAATCAAAGCGTCTTTCTTTCATGAGAATGCAAATAGTGTAACATTATCGGAGATGCCTTGTGGAGAAAACCACACAATGTATTGTATTACTTGATTCATTTTCTTTCAATTTTTACTTTAATTCTGCCTAATTACTGTATTGTGATCTAAGTCAGCAATCTTAAATTAACTATCAAGGAAACTTTTGAAGAACCCCTACAAGTGCTAGATAATGATGAAATTTAAATTACTACAAGTTATTGTGTAATGTCTACACAGTGGAAAAGCGAACCTGATATTTTCATTTCACTCGCTCACGTCTCATTAGGTTTTTCTTGCTTCATTTTCCAGCAGACAATTCTCTGTCTTTTCGACGATATTACAAATAGAGAAAACATCTGGGGGCATTTTGTTTTCCGCATTGGAGGAAGACGGTGCCAAAAGGAGAATGAAAATATCTTCCATCCCAGCCAGGATTCTGAACTAGGCAGACTTCTTCAGATGGGCAGCTGAATGATACATACATGCCCATGTGTATGCACACATATACTGTGATAACGCTCTCTTCTTATCCTGTTGAAACAGACTAGTGGATTTCAGGACAACTCATAACATCTCTGCACCTGGACTTGGGTCTGATCTCAGACATTTTAACTTCAGGATACTCCTGGTTTAGGACCTAATCCAATGCCCATTGAAGTCAATAGAAATATTACTTCCATGGGCTTTGGATCAGGTCTTTACTCCAGCGTCATTTAGATCAGAATCCCATCTCTTCTTCGCTATATATTTATTCTCCCATGAACTCTGATTAGTTATGGAACAAATTAGAAATGCTCAATTAGGGGGGAAAAAGGTCGAGTTTAATTTATTTATAGCAAATAACGCTGGAAATGTTTAATATAATCAGGGGTTGATTGCAACCATAAAAACTGTAATTTGCTATATGTTTCTGATTACCTCCGGTTCTTTTAGGGTGCAGTGGGTTTTATTTGTATGCTCGTTGCTTTACTTTTTGGCTACATTTTTTGGCTACATTGCGGGTTCTATGTAACTAACGAGTGAAAGAAGAATCTATTGTAAAATACAATGTATGACAAATTCATTGCAACAAGTCAAATAATTTAAATAATGGTCTTTCAATAAATGCCAAGAGCTCAATCCCACACCTCCCTTGATCGAGGCTGCTACGTAACTGGTAAGAAAACGATCGAGGGAGACTTTTTATGCAGTAATCTATGGTGCCTGTTACAGTTGTTAAGCACTTTATTAGAAATTCAGCAAGTCTTACCAAAGGGGATCATAAACATCCGCAATTAAAAACTCAGATCTCTCTCGTCTTTGTACGGTGACGTGTATAGAAAAATATGTTTATTTTTTTGTGTGTGATGACTCATTAGCTCTAATTAAACTTTACTTTAAATGTGGAAGCTAAACTGAAAAGCAAAAGAAACGTAGCTGTTTACTGTCAGATGTTGCTGTTCTACTTTGGAACCAAGAGAACTGCTTCAAACACCACCGGTAAAAGAGATCTAAAAGAGAAATAAAAAATGGAAGGCACAAGCATGATACTGCAGTGGTAAAATAAAACCCTTATTTGCTGTAAGCGTTGACCGGTAAGGAAGCTGACAGTCTCCACCTCTGTTTATTTCATATTGTAGGGCACAGGTTCAATTACAACCAAGTCCTGTAGAAAGGGTCCTGGTGTACAAAGAAAACAAAGGTTCTACATTTTCAAATATTCAGAGCAGAGGTACTCTGGATAAATAATCCAAGATGTTGGTCAATGATCAGAGTGATAGTTCCACACGTTGAAATTATCTTGTGCCAGCTACATTGATTGAAAAAGCACTAGGGACAAAAATGGCCTCATTACAAGATGTTTCAAAAGTAGATAAGAGTGGAAAGATCCCCTGTCGTAAATGAGTGACCTTATCTAGATTTTAATATGGTGGTAAGTAAATTATAAATGGCTGGCCAAGTGAAACAACTCTTATTATAAACCCTAAGTCCTGGGAAAGTTTTCAATATTTCAAATGGCTGGAGATGTTATTTCATAACAAATGCTTAGGACCCAATTTTTCCTATTTATTTCTCTTGTCCTGTCCCTCACATGGCCCGAGGAATAGGTAAGCCTGGATTTATTGCAAACTTTGTTACTGTTTTGCTGTGATTGTTCGGATCAACCCAGGACAAATGTGAT